TCAAAAGTTGCGCGGCATAGTGAACTTTCGTAATTGCTTAAGCTGCTACTGCATGAATTATAAAAAAAAAATAATGTCTGGATTTTGTTTTGTTCTTATTTTAGAATAAGAATAGATAATAAACATAAAAAATAATATATGAATTACTATATTAAAATTATTAATTTTAAAATGATAAAATATATGTCGAAGGCACGAGGTGAAGTCCACCATGCGACACTGCAGCGAACTCTTTTATTTTACCCTTTCAGAACTGAAAGCCCTATGCCCAGCTGTGAGACGTACTTCGGTTATTTTTTTATTTCTACTATTTTGAAATTTTATCTATCTATACAAAACGCAAAAATATCTTTCCGAATATCAATCATCATATCATTATATTCAGACCGTAATACTCCATCGCTGGTCGTAGGGCTCCCGAATTGTAGAGAAAATTGGCCTAATTTGTGACACATGGCAGGCGGACTGGAGATCACAGCACCAAACGTCTCGCATCTTTGACGGTGTTGCCTGTCTTCAGTCTGGGTATTTTACATCCAATGTGAACGAGATGGTGATACCGTCATCTCTCCGAAGCCATAAGATCTTTTTGGCATGTCCCATAGTCGCCTCTTACGACACCCACAGGATAAATTTTAGAGATGTTTTTTCTTATATCGCCTGTACGAAGTGCATTTACGACAGAGCGTGTGCAGTCAGCATTTACACGTTGACACAAATCATTTTTACCTTTAATATCGCATATCGCAATAGTTAATAAGACATCACGCTATCGGTCAACAACCACGCAACGTGTGCTCATACTATTAACCATTACAATAAAATCATCTTTCCACAATTAAGGTAAAGGCACCTTATTATGGAAAGAAAGACACCTTAATATGGCGCTAATTTCAGAACACCTCGGGTGTTCTGAAATTAGCGCCATATTCCTAGGTATTTAGATAAACTGCGCTTACGATCATCCATCTATCCATCCATACCAACCATCTATCGCCACAAATTTGTAAAGTGTTCAAAAATATACGCTCATTTTAAGGTTTTGTCAAAGAAAATCAAAATTGAGCAACAACACCTTGTCAATTAATTATTATTAAAAAAAATAAAAATAAATCTTGTCAGGTCTATACCCACGGGGATGATTATTCACATATTTTTAATAATAATAATTTTGGTTGTAAGATAATAAACATCATGTATTATTTTTCCAATCTTTTTCCTTTACATTTTGTACACTCGGAATTAAGAACCAAATACGGACGGAATAAGGATTTTTATATCGGAATAAGGTGCCTCCGACCTCTTTTCATATTTAATTAATTAAGAATACAAATCAAAATCTAATCGTCACGCCTATTTTCTATTTCATGAGTAGAAATAAAAATGGTTCTGATATAAAATAGTCAAACCTTAAAAATGGTACAATAAATGCTTAATTTTCGATCTCCTTTCGAGTTTTAGTAAAAATACCGTGGAAATTGGTGACCTTACTTTACTTCCGTGTTTTACCATTTTTACCAATTAATTCGTTGATCTGCGTTTGCGGTGGTGGCAAAACATTATTTTTTATAGGATAGGGTGACAAACGAGCACACAGTTCAGTTAGTGGTTGCTGTGGCCTATAGACATCTACATCTATCCTCGTTTGCGAATCAAAATGCAGATGCGTTGTCACCCGTGAGGACTAAGATGGAATACCTCTTTTCCAGTAAAATGGGTCTCCGGCTCTCTACACTCACCATATGAAACACAGCAGTGTTAAGCTGCTATTTTACGCTGGTATTCTGTGAGAGCGTGGTCCTTCCCCGGTCGAGCCGACCCATTCGTGCTACAACTATACCAGTAATATACAGCATGGCTCTACCAGGTAAAAAACTTATCAAGCGAATGTAAACACCCCATTGACTTATATATTACTAGCGTAAAATACCTACTCTGAAATGGAACACAATAACATCGCTTTCAATTTTAGGCACAGAGTTTGGTTTGTCAACATTTCCGTTTATCGTCAGCACAACGTTTTAATAAGAGCACAGGGAAGTCAAACAAACATGCTGTTACTCGATGCAATAACATCCATCTGAACAAGACAATCGGATGGCTTGTTGTTCTGTTTGTTTGCGAGGTCAGTGCAGCCGGATATTGTTCGTATATTGATGTATAGCTTCATATATCAGTATCAAATAATGAGGTGTTTTTATCTACTTAACATTTGTTTATGCAGGATTACAGGAATTAGGCCTAAAATAGCAGCTTAATTCTGCTGCGCGAGGCTTCTACACGTGGTAGAGCCAAGTTGCAACTATATTATAATTCTAGCATGAATGGGTCGGCTTGATCGGGGTAGAACCGGCTCGCTCAGAATACCAGCATAAAATAGCAGCTTAACAAAGCATTGTTTCATAGGACTGCAGAGACCCGGAGACCCTTTTTACTAGAAACGTAGCATTTCATCTTAGTACTCAGGGGTGACAACGCATCGCATTTTGATTCTTAATCGATGATAAACGAAGATGTCTATGAGCCACAGCATACACTTACCACCAGGTGGACTATGTTTTTCTTAAACGATAGGGTGACAAACGAGCACACAGTCAACCTGATGGTAAGTGGTTGCTGTGATCCATAGACATCTACATTTATCCTCAATAAAGAATCAAAATGCAGATGCGTCTTTACTCGTGAGGACTAAGATGGAATGCCTCTTGTACAGTAAAATGGGCCTCCAGTTCTCTACACTCACCATACGAAACACAGCAGTGTTAAACTGCTATTTTACGCTGGTATTCTGTGAGAGCGTGGTCCTTTCCCGGTCGAGCTGACCCATTCGTGCTACAATTTTACCACTAATTTAGCTGCAGCATGGCTCTGCCACGTATAAAATGCTGAGTGCTCTTTTATTACCCTTATTCTATAAAAGTTTTCATGTTAGTAGAACTCCTTTCCTATCTAGAAGTTCATCAAACAGCACTGCGTGCACTGTTGTGTTCGAGCCTGAAAAGCGTACGGCTCACCTGATGGTAAGTGACTACCGCCACCCATAAACAACTGCAACACCAGGGGAATTGCAGGTGCACTGCCGGCCTTTTAAAAAGGAGTAGGCTCTTTTCTTGAAGGTTCCTAAGTCGTATCAGTCCGGAAAAATATTCAGTGGTAAACTATTCCACAGAGAGGTCGTACGCAGAAGAAACCAGGTAGTGTGGATGGTATCAGGAGTTTTGCCGCAATGTGCGTTCGTGAAATTTGGCGACTGGGATTAATCCGAACAATTCACCAGAGTACTCCTCGTGCGAAAGAAAAAGCAAAGGAATGCAACATATCTTCGGAGCGCCAGTAAATCGAGATGATCGGAAAGGACTCGGTCGTTGACGATTCGAGCCGCTCTGTGGTGGATGCAGTCGAGTAGAAGGAGCTGACACTAGGGAGCCCCAGCCCAGAGATGGGAACAGTATTCATTGTAAGGCCAAACCTGCGCCTTGTAAAGTTGCAGGCGGTGTGTCGGCATGAAATACTGTCCCGCTCTGTCGAGCACGCCAAGCTTTTTAGAGGCCAATTTGGCCTTGTCTTCCAAGTGACCACAAAACTGCGCGTCACTCGATATGTCGACGCCGAGGATTCCATCACTGGCTGAGGCAACAATGGGGGTTATTGCCTCAGCCTTCAAACTGAGGACATACGACAAAGGGGATCTTTTTAGCGATAAACGCGCTTGAACTTGTATCTTCTGAGGATTACATTGGACTAGATTTAGTAACCCTCAATCCAAGACTTTTTTCACTCGACTCGACTTCAAACACAAGTTTGTGCCGACGTTTTCACGAGAAGTGGCACGGCCGGTGTATAGAGCATCATCTGTGCTGTCATCCACATAGCAATGATTTTACCGGTTTGCAACATATCATTGATATGCAGAAGAAACAGCGTATGTGATAGCACGTAGCCTTGTGGAGCACCAGCATTAATAGGCTTGTAATTGGTGCATGCACCGTCTACAACGACTTTGGTGCTCTAATCTGCAAAAAAGCTGTTGATCCAATTGCACTATTTCTCGGGAAGCGCATAGGAAAGGTAAACCCGATCGGAGGCCTTCGCAATGTGCAAACTAACGCCTCCACCCATCTATGAGTCAGTTAGACCAGAAGATCACCAGCTGATCGAACCCGACGAAAACTGTATTGGCGGTCACTAATCAGCTGGTGATCCTCAAGGTACCGCATGAGCTGGCGGTACTATGAGGATCACTTATAATGGATTCCATTATTTTGGAGAACAAGGAGGTGATGGCGATAGGCCTGTAGTTAGACGGGTCTGAACGGTCACCTTTTTTAGGGATCGGGTGGACAAAAGTCGTTGTATTATAGGAGGAACATTTGCCACACTTGGCAAGCAGGTTGACAACCACAGTTTTAAATAAAACTAATTTTTGGATTCTATCGGGTTTAATTAACTTATTTTTATTAAATTTAAACTTCCTTATAAATTATTTTCAGCAGTGGACTTTAATAGACTGTACCGGTAACGATAAATTTATTTATTATTTATTTATTTAACAGTTTATGTACACACATAATTTGATAAGAAAATGGTAAAAACATAATTATGTACAAAGGCACTGCTTATTCCATGATGAAATTTCTTCCAGCAGGCCTATTGAAGGATAGTTGAAGGAAATAGAGGTAGTCAAAGTGTGCACTTGCTTAAATATACATATACTATACAAATATATACAAACTTACTAGCAAACCCGGCGAACTCCGTTTCGCCACCAGGTGGCTTCGTTTTATGTAACTATTCGTTTGGTGATTAAAAGATGAAGAAAAATTTTATTTTTGTTTTATATTTGAAAAGGAAACATTTTATTTCATTTCACAACAGTAATGAATTCACTTCGATTACAAAAATGAAGTGTTATTTAGTTGAACTTCTCTAAGTAAATGAAAGTGAATCCAAAGTAAATACTGAATCGAAGCGTTATTATACGTGTCCGCAAATTATCCGTTTCATTCAAGTGCTCTTTGGTAAACCACATTTTTTGTTTTTTGGTCTGACGTTAACACAAACAAAGCGGATGGTTTCCCAACTCGTGAACACGCAACGTATAACTGCCCATGTGAAAAACAATGGTTTTCTAAATTGATCCCGCAAACACTAAGCGATTGGCCTTGTGACTTGTTAATTGTCATTGCGAACGCAAGGCGAACTGGAAATTGCAATCGCTTGAATTCAAACGGAAGATCAGTCGGAATCATTGGTATTCGAGGAATACATACATTTTCACCTGCGTACTTTCCGTTAATAATGGTTGCCTCAATCAAATTCGGCATAAGTCTTTTCACCGAAACTCGAGTACCGTTGCAAAGTCGCGGTGGATTCAAATTACGCAATATCATAATAACTGTACCAACTTTGAGTTGCAAGTTATGTGGTGGAAATCCTGGTAACTCCAGAGAGTTCAAAAACTCCGTTGGATAATTTACTACATCATCGGGATTTGTCATGGAATCAACGGATTTGTATGTCAACAAATCGCCAGCAATTTTTGATTGAATGGTGAAATTCAGTGCGTGTACAGCATTATTCTTTGCGGCAAGAATTGCTCGTTGACTTAACCAAGCATAATTCTGATAATTATCACTAATGTTTGGGAAAACATTTTCAATAAGAGCTAATTGAGAGTCTACAAATCGGCAAAAGTCGTTGGTAAGAGTAATTAATCCAGATGTTGCATCAACTGGGACTTTTCCATTTCCAACAGCTAACAATTGTTTAGAAAATTGTGCAGCACTTTGATCATTTTGAAGTTGAACTCTCATATTAGTGGTTAGCAATAATGTTTTTACGTTATTCCATAAAGGTGATGCCTTCAGGCAAGCATTCAATTCATCTGCAGGCGTTCCACGGGGAATTACTGGCAACGTCTGCCTGAAATCGCCTGCCAACAATATCATCAAACCGCCAAAGATGTTGTTATTTCGCCGAAGATCCTTCAGTGTGAAGTTAAGTGCTTCAAGTGATTTCTTATGTGCCATTGTGCACTCATCCCAAACAATGAGCTTGCATTGCATCAACAATTTTCCCATTGCACTGGATCGGGAAATATTGCATGTTGGAGTATCAATTGTGTTTAAATTGAGTGGCAACTTAAGCGCAGAATGTGCAGTACGACCGCCATCTAGAAGAGTCGCCGCAATTCCAGATGATGCTAAGGCCAAAGCTATGTCACATCTTGATCGAATAGTGGCCAAAATCAACTGACAAATGTTTTCCCTGTTCCTCCAGGTGCGTCCAGGAAGAATAGACCACCAGTATTATTGTAAACCGCTTGCATTAATGTTTCGTATCCTTTTTTTTGCTTGTCATTCAGCAACGGCACATTATTTCGAACGAATTCCTGCAATGTATCAACATTATATTGCAACTCTCTATTTAATTCTTGGTTGAATGCATCGTGCATCGATCGATTTGGCGCAATCATTCCTACTTCAATCAGTAGCTTGTTTGCAATAGTCAAGCATTGATCCTCAATCAGAATCAATCCTTCATTGTAGATTTCATCGGTTATTTGGATGTCAGGATTATTCGTTTGAATGCGCAAGCGATGCAAGATATCTTCACATATGTCGTCTTTGTATTTGTTCCATAACTGAATTGGTTGTGAAGGAAAACATGTGGTGATGATAATTGCGAACAGAGTTCGTATTTGGTACGCATTTGATGAAACAACTGAATCCGCAAGTGTTAAATCCCAATGAGAATCGTTCTCCAGCAAACCCAATAGTTGACATGCTTCTCGATATGTTTGGCATTGGTGGCCATTCACAATTTTCAAATGCGCAAATGATTTTGGTCCACGTACATTTACCAACAGCAGTCGCAAATAAAAACATTCATCATTTCTAGGATGAACAGTATACATGCGACCTAGTGCATCAGTGGAAAACACCTGTAGCCAATCTGGAACTGGGGTTCCTTGTTTGCGACGTTGGAATTTCTTTGTTCATTGATTCCAAGTGTAATACTTGGGCATTTCAACGTACATCAGCGTCGCTGCGAATGGATCTGCTTCACACATTGCAAAGAAGCTAGTCAATGTTGTCGATGGTGGTCTCTCAGCTAGTTGTGCCGCATTAGCCTCAGTGAAGTAAACTCTTTGACCATTTTCCAAATGCACTGCTAAATGTACAACTGTGGGATATCTTTCATGAATTTGAAATGACAATAATCGCCACAGTGCTTCATTAGTACTGACGTATCTGCCCATTTGGAAGTTGCTGATTTCGTCATTCGCATTTTCCGACGCAATACCAAACACAGCCATGTCGCTGCCTTTTGTGACGTACTTGCACAAATATTTGATTGATTTGGCCGAATGACAACTCTCAACGTTTGCATGTGTTTCGAAAATTCGTGATAGCAGCGGGCAATATGGTACAATGAATTCATTTCCGATCTCAATCTCTTGATTTTGAACTTTAACTTTGATAGTTCGACCATTATCTTCTTTTGAACGCTGACGATAAACTGGATATCCATCGTTCCCTGTGACTGTTTCAGTAACTAACGGTCGCGGATATCGTTTTGTGCACTTTCCATCAGCCATGCAAGGCGATAATGGATTTAATGCACCGCACGGTCATCAGTGACTGGATCAGGAATTTCAGCTGATATGATGTAATCCACTTCATTTGAATGTAATTTGTTCAGCAGCCAAATTAGGATATGAGCATGCGGTAGTCCACGCTTCTGCCATTCCACCGAGTACATATAACAACGTGTATCACCAAAAACTCGATACTTAGAAGCACATCCATCATAACCTTGAGTTTTTGCTGAAATACTCTGGCGATTATGTCATGGCGATCTTGCGGTTTTTGGCCCGGTTCCAACTCACGTTCAATTTCCGTCCACTTCGGATTGCATGTGAACGTAATAAATAAATCCGGAGTTCTATAATTTCGCACGTACGTCATAGCGTCTTGAGCGTATTCGTGCATGTGGCGTGGGCTTCCGGTATAAGATGATGGGAGAATCGTCAGACGTCCAATATTTTGAACATCACCATCTGAATGAATAGCATCACGCAAGTGTATATAGTCCTCAGATCGTAGCTTTGCCTGATTGAATCGGATGAACGCTAAACGTTCGGTCTCGACTTTGACATACATGTCGACAGCGAATTGCTGGAATAGCCGACGGCACTTCAGAATGACATTCTTCTCATGTGTACGAATCATCATACGATACGCATAGTAATTCATTGCGCTTAGATTTTTATTCGTTGATATGCCTGAAAATGCAAAATTAAATGAATTGTTAATGGAAACCAATAATAGCAATAATTAGTGTGTGAATATTGTACCTGTAATTGGATCGACCATCTTCAACGTAATTTCGTATCCGTCTTGCCCTTGCCAATAAATGATTGGATATTGTAACGCATCGTACAAACGATGTGTCTCGTTTACACGATGCATGATATTGCTTCTTCGCTGAACGACAATGTCTCGCGACTTAGTTGGATCGCCAACAATAATTGCAGCAACATCATTAACGGTGGGTGCATTGAATCTTCGCACATGTTCACCTGTTGGGGTACAATCAGCTCTTATGACAAATTTGTGCGTATCCGATGGCATTCGTTCCAATGCTGTTTTGAACATATTAACCACATCATTATTAGCGTGAAAAAATGCTTGCAACTGTTCAATAATTCGTCTCTTTAACTGTTGTGTTCCCTGTATATTGCACCGCACATTCAGCTGATCCACCATCGACGAAATGAAATATATTTGCAGAAATTGATGCGGTTCATCTGGTGTTGGCACCATTGAACCATGCAAATGATATATTTGTCCTTGTATCTGTAATTGCAATTTGTTGAAGAATACGGTGTAACTTCTGATCGTGTGATGATGTAGTGTGTGGTGTATATGTAGTTGTTATGTGTTGCAATTCATTATGTTGGTGTGAGTGATTGGTTATGTGTGTTGTATCTTTTACCTTGCAAGTCGGCATGAAGCCGCCTTCTCGAATGATATTAGCTCCAAAGGAAGTCATGCGAAAGCAGTTATTGTATTCAAGGATGTGTTGAAGAAAATAGCTGGAATCGGGATCACTTCCATCGAACAATGGTTGCAGTGGCTGTGGTGGTGTAAGTAATGGATCCAGTTTGACTTTTCCACTTGCGCAGCACAATCCAGCCGTTTCTCTTTTGAACTTTAACGCATTGCAATATCGGCATATAGTCGTCATTGGTCCAATATCTAAATTTTCATCATCACTGTAGTTCGCAGTGGGATCATATTGGAATGCCAAGCGATTGTATGATGCCAATGATCTTCGTGTGCTCACGCGTTGTCTCAATCGGGCATTTTCTCTTATTATATTTTGTCTTTCTTCGCTTAAGTTCTGTGAATACGCTTGTTGCTGGCTTGCATGTCTTGTGCGGCGGCCGATGTTCACACGTCGTCCTCTAGGCATCTTGGACTATGGACAGAGTGGTGAATTTAACCTCAAATGCACGATCCACATAATTTACACAGTTCAACTTACCACATTAAAGACAAATGCCTGCTGTTGAAATTGAATAAAAATTTGCACAATACACGTGATTGATTTGATGGTAAATGTTAGGAAACGAATAACTAATTTTTTTTACTTTTTTTTCACAATTTCATAGTGAACACAATACCGGTTTGTCACATGAAATACCCTTCAAAATCCGAAAAATCCATTTGGATTTCTGACTTGTCAGAAATATGATCCCCTCCAAAGAGTATATAATAAAGTAATTTAAATAATGGCCCCCTTAGAACAATAAATAAAGAGTATTCAGAACTTAGAGTACAAATAAGGAAGGTATAGAGCACGTGTATCGCTCAATGCCCATTATGCCAAGCGTAAAATTGACGCCTATGCGTTGTTATACTTAAGTTATTAATTTGATTATGTAAGTATTTGTAAATATTACGTAAGCGATAATTATAAGGTATGTTTTAGCTCAATAAAACATGGGTACGAATTTATGAAACGATGTTTATTAATCAAACACAAAAATCTAATTAATTTACTCTCCCGCTAAAAACCATATTATACAGGGTTAGTGGGAATTCGACAATTTCCTAGCATAGCATGATAAGAGAGTCAAAATGCTACAAATTAGGCTAGGTATGAAAACCGTCAATTTACTCTAAATCTCTAGGTCAGAATTAAATAAAATACACACAATAATTTGTAGGAAAATATTCCATTAACAATTGCTGTATTTGTTTAATGGTTACTAAATTAGTCAGTACAAAGATAAATATTTTTATTTATGTTTATTATTGTACTCGTATCGGTATTTTTGCACAATATGTCCCGTTCCTACCTACTATCATATTTCGCTGTCGTGGACGTTGGACATCAATACAATTTTCTAGAAATAAAATTAGTTATTCATCTACCTTGTACGGTACACTGTGGAGGTGGGCAAAATGTATCATTTTTGGGATTGGAACATTTGCATCTTGATCACTGAAATATTCCGAAACACTGATATGTTTCATTTGGCTCATTTGTATCATCGACTCTAAAGATATAAAAGAAAGAATGTTCCGAATAAATATTAATATAAAATAATAATAATAATTATTATTTTATATTAATATTTATATTTGGATAAGAACTTAGTAATGACTCTAAGTTATATTTACCTTCATTTAAAAAAAACTGTCTTTGGCCTGACCTACTATACTCTTTGGCTTGACCATAGGTCTGACTAATCTGTTTATGAAACTGCCAAAATTAATGTTATTAAAAAAAATAAAGTTGAAATTAAGTTAATATACGCGATAAAATCCGTAAAACGCACCGGCGCCATCTACTTAAAATATTGGTTTGTAGTACATGCTATGTATCAGAGATAGCGCTGTATGTGAAAAAAGATTTTCCCGCTTTTCTGTTGAAACTTTCCTGAATTTTCTTTGCTATAAACCTCACGGAGCCCAAGACCTTTCCAACGAATGCAAAACCGTGGAAATCGGTTCGTGCGTTCTGGAGTTATAGCGTCAGGAAGGAAAACCCGACTTATTTTTATATAGTAGATATATATACGTAAATACATATATAATAAATAAATATTATATATTATAAAAAATATATATATAATTCAATATATATTTTAATGTTACTTATATGCATACCAACACATTACGATTTAGTAATTATGGAGTGAGTGATAGTGCTCTTTAACAAGTCTTTTAAACATAGACACCGATTTAGCATCACGAATCCTAAAGGGAAGTGAATTCCACAATCGTACTGCGTTAACAGAAAAAGAATGAGAATAGAGCATGGTATTGAAAGACGGAAATCTTAACAATGTTCTACTATTTGACCCACATGGTACATCTGGAGAATTAACAAAAGTAAAACGATTTTTTAGATATAGCGGAATAGAAGGATTATGTAGAATATTGAAAAGAAGACAGAGGATACGAGTGTTCCGGCGAAGGCGGATTGGGAGCCATTTAAGCTGCTTGCGATAAACAGAAACGTGATCGAACTTCTTTAAGCCGAAAATGTATCGAATACATAAATTTTGCAAGCGCTCAAGTTTATTAATTTGCTCCTCTGTAGCATCCAGATAACATACATCAGCGTAATCTAAAATTGGTAATATAAGAGTCTGGACTATGGATATCTTAGTAGACAAGGGTAGAAAACTTTGAAGACGCTTTAGAGAATGAAAGGCATGAAATATTTTCCTACTTACATCCGTAATATGAGCGCCCCACGTCAGATTGCAGTCAAAAATAACGCCTAGGTTCTTGGCAGTATCTGAGGAGGGAATAGTGGTACCATCAATTCGTAGAGTTTGGAGAGAGGAGAAATCAAGCAAGCCACGCGCATATCTTTTGCCTATTATTAAGGCTTGGGATTTATTTGGGTTTATTATGAGACCAAAAGATCTTGACCATTCTCTAATCTTATTTAAGTCATCATTCATAGCTTCAATCGCCAATTTAGCTTCAGATGCCACAAAATTACGATATAACTGCAAATCGTCAGCATAGAGGTGGTAATTAGATGATATGACCTTAGTGATACAATTAATAAAAACGGCAAAAAGCAGAGGAGATAGAACTCCACCTTGTGGTACACCCGCAGTTACATTATACCATTGGGAGTATATTTCACCTGAACGAACACATTGAGAACGATCTCGAAGATAGGAGTCAAACCATAGAATAACAGATCTAGACACATTAATCGACTTAAGGATACTTATAAGGATATCAAAATCGACAGAATTAAACGCACTGCTGAAATCTAGTAGAACAAGAACTGTTAAAAATCCATGTTCCATATTCCAACGAATATCATCAGTAACTTTAAGAAGGGCAGTTGTTGTACTGTGACCAGGTCGGAAACCAGATTGATATGGACATAAAAGATTGTTACTGTTGAGAAAGGCTGAAAATTGCTTGTGGACAATGTGTTCAAGAACTTTAGAAAGAAATGGCAAGATTGAAATAGGACGAAAGTGAGAGGGAGATGAAGGATTAGATATCTTAGGGATAGGGATAATGTGAGCTAATTTCCATGACGACGGAAAACAACAAGAAGATAAAGAGAAATTAAAAATGTGAGTAAGAACAGGTAGAAGAAAAGAAAGGATAGGCATTATCATATTAGAGCATATGCAGTCATTTCCAGCAGCCGTAGATGATATAGCTAAAATTGATCGGTTAGTATCGTCTTCGGTGACTAAAGAAAAACCAAAAGTGGCACACTGCAGAGCTGGATGCTTAGCCAATTCTAACATTGACCTAGCTTTATCACGTGCAGAGATAGAAATAGGAGGGCAAGAAAAATGTTGGTTGAGAATATTTAAGTCTATGTCTCCACTTAGATGTGTTTGTGACTTTCCAACGCCAACAGTTTTAAGAAATCTCCAGGCTTTTGCGGGATCACATTTAGTTAGGGAGTCATAAAAATAACTCCTTTTTGCATCTCTGCACAAACGATTGCACCGATTACGTAGGATCTTATAATTTGTTAAATTACTCTCCAGTGGAAATCGCTTGTATCTTCTTTTTGCTTTATCCCTACGTGCCATGAGCTCCTTTATAGCTGGAGTTATCCAGGGGGCAGAATTATGTTTTATTTTAACGCGTTTAACCGGGGCATGAATATCATATAAGTTAAGTATGATATTGTTGAAACTGTTCACTTTGTCATCTACTGTTTGGCTGGCAAAAACCGGCGCCCAATCTATCAACCTAGCATCACGTCTTAAGGCCTCCAAATTAATGCCCCTGTAACTTCGAAGGAATCGAAAGTTTGACTTACGCTTAGGAGGTCGAACACGGTAAGACAGATAGATAAGGTCATGGTATGAGAAAGAAGCAGTTAGTTGTCCATGGCTGGCAGCTTTATTTGGAGAAGATACTATAATTAGGTCAAGGAGAGATGGAGTACAGTTTGGGAAGTGGTGAGTGGCTGAAAGAGGTAGGATCTGAAGATTAAAAGAGGACAAAAGTGATTGCAACTTATTCGTATGGTGGTCATTTTTAATTAAGCACGTATTAAAATCACCCATCAAGATAACATGATTATATAAGAGATTGAACTCTCCAAGTAGTTTGTCAAATGCGTCAAAATAATTAACATAAAGGTTAAGACTATAAAGAACTCCTAGTAATATTTGTGTGTGATTAAGGGTAATTTCCAAAAAGAGGTGTTCTGCAGAATTAGAATATGTTTGCGGAGATGTACTGATCACCTTAAAAGGTATTTCGGCACGTAAATATATACAAACACCTCCACCACCCTTACCTACTCGGTCATTGCGTATTAACACATAACCAGGAAGTGAGTATAGAGTGAAAGGAAGAGTAGGTTTGAGAAAAGTTTCAGAAATCAAAAGAGTATCGAGATGAGTATTACTAATGGATGCTAGAAGGTCAGAGTAGTGGCCAGGAACACTTTGCGCATTAATGTGGGCGATATTTAAATGTTCAGGGTATTGAGAAAATACCGAAGAAATATGATCGAGCAGAGTATTTGGTTCAGACGATTCGAGACGACGACGATTCGGTGTCCACGCTTATAAAACTGTTAGTAGACGACGAGCATGAGAAAAAACTTTCATTAAGGTCTGATAAATTATTCATAGTTTATGATGATAATAATGAATATAATAAAATAAAATTACAAATATATATATATATATATATATATATATATAAGTATAAGTATAACTAAAAAAGTAAAAAAAAATCAATAAAAAAAACGACTAAAAAATTAATATTAAAAATTCAAACTTAATAACTCAACCCACTCTCTGGCGTGATGGAAGAAATTTTAAGTAAAATCTAGTGAAAAGAAAAACAAGAAAAAAGGACAAAAGAAATAATTTTTGATCACTAACAAAACAGATCGAGAGAATTAATAAAAATACTTCAATATTACATTCAACAATATACGAAAACATT